ACCTCTATTACAATACTTATCACATTGTGCTGTAATTTTTTGTTTAGATATCTATCTTTGTCACTTGACTGTGAGTTCCTCAAGGGCTTAGACTGTATCTTACTCATCAGAGTATCTGCCTCCTCCCCAGAACCTAGCAGCTGAATATTTAGAATATAGGAGGTTTTTAATGAATAAGCACAAGTAGCCACAAATTATCAGAATGCACATTCATTTATTAAAGAGATATTTGTGCAGGAAGACTGTAGGGGTCTACTTAATATAGCCCATTGTGCAAAGGTTCAGGGAAATGTTCCTAGAGAACGAAACTCTGCTGGGTTGAATTTTAGAAAAGAGGCCATCTCCTTCAGATGGAGGATAGAGTGGGAAGAAAGGCAAAAGGCGTTGGAATATGATATAGGCAGGAAATTCTGTCAACTGGATGGTGTTGGAGGAATATCAAGTGTGAGACCAAAAGATAAGCCTTGAGAAAGTATCAAAAAGCCACATGGGAGTAGGCAGTTCATGAAAAATTATGAAAGCTGAATGTTATCCTGTAGGTGATACTGACACTGTAAGGGGACTTATGCTGAGGAGGGATTTGTGAGAATGGTGTATCAGATAGAATAATTTTCTGACCTTGTGAGGACAGAGTGAGGGCATAGGAATAGAATCAGGAAAACTATTGAAAACAATTGCTTTGGTACTTAAAATATCAAGAAGACTTGAACTAGGGCAGTTTTAGAAGTAAGAAATTGAGTTAAGCTTGACTTGGGAGACAAGCTTGATAAGATCTTGTGCCTAACTGGATTTAGGGAGTAATAGAGAGAGGGAAGAAACCATGACTATACCCAGGTAGATAACGGGACTATCTCCACAAGACAGAGAAGAGGAACAAAAGTTCAGGCTTGGGGGAAGGTAGTGACTTCATTTTAGATATACTGAATTTGAGGCATATCTGAATCATCCAGTCCAATCAGTAATGATGCATTTGGAACCTAATGGGGACGGGGAGAGGGTCAGGACTAGAGATTTGAAATTTGGGATCATAAACTGGAAAGGACATGAATAGAAACCATGATAGTGGGCAATATCAATAAGGTAACAGGAATAGCGAGCAGGCCATCTCCTGGGGAACACATAAAGAGATAGTGGAGGAAAGGGAATTTACAAAGGGGACTGATGAGGATGGTCATAACATGCTGGGAAAGTTGGCATGACAACAAGCCTTGTTCACACATGACTTCCTTGGGTTCAATTTTCTTTAAAACCTGACTATCCCCATTCTGGTACTGTTTGTTACTTCCTCTGACAAATCTCCTGTGCTTGCCCCTCACAGAAACTACTATAATTGTAAATTAACACCTGAGCTTTAAAGGGTAATTGGAGTGAATGTCTTACAGTTTAAAGTGAGAGACATTTCACGGGAGAGAGGAACAGGATCAAAACTGGGGTGGGAAGAGCGCATGGGATCATGGTGATGGCACATGAGGTGAGGTGGTGGTGGGAAGTCCATGGGGATTACAACTGAGATGGAAAAAAGTACAAAATGAAGAATGATGTAATATGTGTGTGTGTGTGAGTGTGTGTGTACGTATATATGTATAAGTATGTGTATATATAATGTGTGTATATATAATGTGTGTATATGTACATATACACACATATGTGATGAGAAATGTACAAAATGAAGACTGATGTTTATATATATGTATATATATACATTAAAATAAAAAAGATACACATAAAGTACATAAAACAGTAAAAAAAAAGTGATTGGCACTTATTAATTATTGTCTGTTTAGCATCAGCAGCAGGAATGTTCTTCCTTGTGCCAGAATTAAGTCATATTTATGACCACATCATAAAATGCCTGTCACCCCTGTCAGAATATAAGCTCCATGAGGGCAGAAACTAGATATCTCCTATTTACTATCCCTTAATCCACAGAGGCTACAAGTGCTTGGCAGTTAGAAGTAGCTCAATAAGTATTTGTGAAATAATAGAACACTGTCCTAAACTCCCACAGTATAGAAACCTTCCAGGAATGTCCCTTTAAAAGTCAAGTTGTCGGCCCTCCCTGGTGGCGCAGCGGGTTAAAGCACAGCACTGAGAAGCTAAAGCCACTTCCGCATGAGTTCGATCCCTGCCTGCCCGGGAGGA